GTGGGTGGAGCGGTGTTGCTGACAAGTGGCAGTGGTGCCGTGAGCAGCGGTGGTGTGCGTGTGTCCACGGGCGTCATGTCCGGTGGTTCTAGCGGTGACATCGAGGTGCTCACTAGCGCTAGCAGCGTGTCTAGCGGGTCCATTCGTATCGGCAGCGGGTCTGGTGACGCTAGTGCTGGGTCCATCGAGGTATCCGGTGGCTCTTCTGTGAATGGTGAAGGGTCTTCGGTGTCTGTGTCTGGAGGCCTGTCGGAGTCGTTGACGGGCGGCAGTGTGACGATCTTGAGCGGCGACAGTTTGTCGTCAGAGAGCGGGTCGGTGACGCTCGGCTCTGAAGGCGGCGCAAGCACCACTGTGAGTGGCGCGGTGTCGCTGTCGAGTGGGTCGACTGCAACCGGTTCATCTGGCGCTGTATCGATCGCGTCTGGCGCATCGCCTGTGCTGTCGAGCGGATCGGTGAGCGTGTTCGGTGGTGAGGCTGTAGGCACCGGTGGGCTCGTGAGCGTGACCGGTGGTAGCAGCTCCGTTGCCGCGGGTGGTGCGTTGGCTTTGGCCGGTGGTGCTGGTGCGACGGGAGGCGACGTGACGATGTCAGGCGGCGAAAGCATGTCGGGCACGGGTGCGTCACTGGAGTTGCGCAGCGGAGAAGGCTCGAGCAGCAGTGGCGATGTGCGGCTGTTGAGTGCCGATGGCGTGGAGTCGGGCGGCGTGCATATTTCGTCCGGCTCGGCGACGAGCAGCAGTGTTTCCGCGGGAAGCATCAACCTGTCGGTGGGTTCGTCGGTGGCTGACGGCGGCGACGTTGACGTGCGCAGTGGGTCCAGTTCTGAGTCCGCGGCAGGTGACGTGCTACTGACGGGCGGATCTTCCCTATTGTCGACATCGCCTTTTACAGGAGCCGTGGCCGGCGCCGTTCGGCTAACGGGTGGCAGTTCTGCCGGAGAAAATGCCGGTGGCGACGTGTTTGTGTCAGGTGGCGCTGGCGTCGCGCTGGGCGGGTCGGTGTCCGTGTTAAGCGGAGGCAGTGACGATGAGTCCGCTGTCAGTGGTAGCGTAACGGTGCGTTCGGCTTCCGGCAGTGCCAGCGGGTCCGTGGATGTGACGAGTGGCGCTTCGGGAACTGACACGTCTGGCGATGTAACGTTGGGCAGTGGCGACTCGAGCGGCAGCACATCGGGATCCGTAGCTGTGGTTGGCGGCAGTAGTACCGTGTCTAATGGTGGTTCCGTGTCGATGCGTGGTGGGCACAGCGGTGGGTCGGATGCGGGTGGTTCTGTGTCGCTGGAGAGCGGTGCGGCGAGCGCGAACAGCGGCAGCATTACGGTATCCAGCGCAGCTGCAACGAGCTCGAGCTTGAGCGGCAACGTGGACATTGGTTCTGGCGAGGCGGTCTCGGGCGCATCAGGTTCGCTGTCGGTCGTGTCTGGCCTCAGCGCTAGCGGATCGAGTGGGTCTGTGGTCGTGGCTAGCGGTGTTGCTAGCTCGTCCGATGCAGGCGGCGTAGAGATCCGAGGCGGGTCGACTGGCAGCTTGAGCGCACGTGGAGGCTCTGTAACGGTGTCATCTGGTCAGGACGGCGTGGTGAGTCTGTCTAGCGGCGATCGGCGTACTGCTGATGGTGGCTCGGTCGAAATTGTGGCCGGAACTGGCACGCTCAGCAGTGTGGGTGGCGGGTCGGTGAGTGTTCGCGGCGGCTCTCTGAGCGCGTCTTCGGGCCTTGCGGGCGATGTTGCCTTGTCCGGTGGTGCTGCGTCTACGGGCGCGGCGACTGGTGGCGTTGTTTCTCTTGACGGCGGTGCGAGTGAGGCTGGCGTCGGTGGCGGCGTGGCCATTTCGTCTGGAGCAGGCTTGCTGGGCAGCGGTGACGTGCGCGTTATGAGTGGTGCTTCTGCGAG